AAAAATAGAGCATCTATACCATCATCGATCTCTCCAAAGCCAAATCAAAAGAAATTTGTAGTAAGTGTTGTAACAATAAAATAACAATGTAAATTCTTTATTCAAACTTGAGAGGGGTCTAATCTACCCAGCATTTTTGCTGCTCTAGCCTCTAGGGCAAAACACATATTCCACTACATATAATCTGACCCGACGACGCCGTTTTTTCACTAACCCAACATTCGGAGATTAACTTCGCCGGAGAACAATGCTCGGCATTTCGTACGGCGAACTTTTCCTCCTTTTGGGCGCCACCGCCGCCCTTATCGGTATTCATTTTCTCTCTCTCTAAAATATGCGTGCTTCCTGCTAATGAACGGCGTTACATTTATGCCAAAGTCTGTTAATCGGAAAATATGATTGTAAATTAGGGCCTAAGGATCTTCCGGTTATCGCTAGAACAGCTGGGAGGTTAGCTGGGCGATCGATTGGATATGTTCAGGTGGCGCGTGGCCAATTCGAAAGCGTTATGCAACAATCTCAAGCTCGCCAGGTTTTTTGTTTCATGTAGATTTGATTGTTTTTTTTTTTCCTAAGACCCACATTTGCCCCAATTTGATTGATCGTGCTGCTGTTTTTAATGTTTGAGCTGATATTGATATTATGCTACAAATCATGTTGTTGTTTCAAAAGTTTGAGCTTAAATTGATATATTATGCTACAAATCGTGTTGCTGTTTTACGTTTGAGCTGAAATTGATATGTTATGCTACAAATCGTGTTGCTGTTTTAAACGTTTGAGCTGAAATTGATATGTAATGCTACAAATCGTGTTGCTGTTTTAAACGTTTGAGCTGAAATTGATATTTTAAGCTACAAATCGTGTTGCTGTTTTAAACGTTTGAGCTGAAATTGATATTTTAAGCTACAAATCGTGTTGCTGTTTTACGTTTGAGCTGAAATTGATATGTTAAGCTACAAATTGTGTTGCTATTTTACGTTTGAGCTGAAATTGATATGTTAAGCTGCAAACGTGTTGCTGTTTTAAACGTATGAGCTGAAATTGATGGGTTATGCTGCAACTAGTTAGCTCGTCCTGCTTACTGATGTTTTGTGACTCGGCCTAAGGATGAACGAGTAGAGTTGAGCTAGCCACTGGTTTGGTGTTCATTAATCCTGAAACTTGAGGGTTTTACCAATGTCTCTAAAGTCAGTTATCAAGATGATGTTTATTCGTACTTTTTGATTTTTTTTTTTTTTTTTTTTTTTTTTTTTGGTGTATTAATTGCAAAATTAACTGAATTGCTCATGTTGCAATGTTCACCACCCTTGTTTTGGATGTATGGCCGGTTCTTATTCAAAATGTGGTTTGGATAATTAAGAAATGGATGAAAACGTGACAGGTTCATAAAGAACTGCAAGACACAATGGCTCAATTAGAAGCCATACGTCATGAAATTCGATCCATTTCAATCGTGAATCCTGGTCCCTTGACAACAAGGCTAGTTGATAACATAGCTAGCCAACCACCCGTTAAAAATGGTATCTATTTTTCTGTTTACGTTTTCTTATTTATATTTGTTTTAAAATAGCACTCCTCCTTTCGATACTGATTTGTTTCAAGATTCATGATTGCTTTATAGTGGACAATGGGTCTGCAAAACCTCCTGAAGGCCGTGCAGCAAAAATTGAGATCAAAGAGATCAGTAGCATGGCCAAGGTAACAAAGGAATTATGAGATACCAAAATACGAGTTTCAATGTCATTTTTTTACTGTATTTTTAGGGGGTGTTTGGATAAAAATAAATTCGCTCAAAACGGATTTTTTTTGTTAACCAAAGTTATTTTAGAAAAGGTAGTATGGTTAGTTGTTAGTGGGATTTTGAGTTTATATTAAAATAATAGTTAAAATAAAATAACTAAAGTTGATTTGATGTAAAAGTATGAGAGAGATGATGTGAAGTGATGATTAGTTAAAATTATGTGAGTGAATGAATAGTGAATTAAAGTTGTTGTGATGTGTAAGAATGATTGATTGATATTATTTAATTATATTGATAATATTGAAGATAGTGGTGTTGAGTTAAAGTTGAGTTAGATTTTGAGTATGAATTGAGAAAACTTATAAACAAACACACCCTTAGGAAATTCCATATTTTCCTTAAGGATCACAGTTTACCTATCCCGGCACTGTCCGATATACATAGCCAAGCCACTGCTTACGAAAGATTGGCTGCCGAATCTCCATTAGCTGGAAAGTCCATGGATGAAGTTCTTAATGAGCTAAAGGATGAATCTGGTCAGTTTGTTGTTCTTCCTATATCAGCTGAAAGTGCAAAACTGTTGCCCGGTAAAAAAGGTAAAACCGTTCATAAGATGAGTTGAAATAATACAATTACTTTGCCTTTTCATGCTTTATGAAGAACTTATTTTGAGCAGTTTTGGCTTCAGAGGAGTTGAGGGGCTCAGACGTATTGTTGGAGGCAGTACTTGAGGAGGATGTAGCACGTAATGCAAAGGGGTTTTTCTCTTCTCAGGCTCAAGACCAAATAAAAATTTGAAAAAAAAACACGTATGGTTACTTCCCCATGTGTGTGTATATACTATATACATAATCTGCCATTCTTGTAGCATCATTGATAATAGATGAGAGAAAGGATTGAAATCTTCCCAGATTGTGTCTGTGTTTAAATAATTTACAAATTAGATCGTGCAGAAATTTAGGAAAATCAAGAAGCATCTAGTTCAAATCTATTAGTTTCATTGCAGAAGGGCTAATGAGACCAAAATAATTTGTCACATCTTTGTTTTCTTGGCCTTTTTTTTGGGTCCTTTTGTCTCTTATTCTTATATTTCCTCTCAATTTAATTGCAGGCCGCTTGATGCACTTTGCCTTCTTGACATGCTTGATTCTTGCAGCTTTATGCATAACTGATGATCTTATTCATGTTAGCATTTTATGAAGCAACTTAAGTCCCGTAAGTTTGATTATATAGCTCAAATTTGGTCCGTTCAAGACTTCAATTTTTTGAATCAAGCAAAATTGCATTTTTTTGTTGTGTTCTCATGAAGTGGGGTCTATTACTTACGATTCACCAGTCGAACTAAATCATCTTTTATTATGAAAAGATTTTCCAACGGTCCAGTTAGGTTGGTACCACTGCATAAAGCGCAAGCACATTTATGTATGGTTTTTAGACGCGTTAAAAAGTGGCTTTTATTTACATGTACCTAATGGCTGATGAAAGCTATCTTTTTGTATAAAGAAATTTCTGGACATGTGATTTTAAACCAGAATCTATGGCATAATTTGATATGTCGATTCGGATTCTTGGTGGAATCACATTCCTGATCTTTTGGCTTGGCCTTAGTTTTCATTTTTTCTTTTTCACCCGAATTTTCGTATAATCAAATATTCTCTTTATTTTGGATATTGCATACGTTGTTCTGTTCTATTTTATGCAGAGCCCATTTCGTGTAGTACAAATTATTGTGTGAGGCATCTAACTGTTTAGAGGTTTGATCCGTCATATATATATATTTGTTAATGAAAATGGATGGTTGTTCTATGAAAAATCATACTTTTGCCAATGTTATTTCTTAGAATATGATATTTCAAGTGTGCAAATCTATTTAAAATTAGCAAGTCTTTTGTTAAGTTCCAATTACTCTTCCAACTAATATACATACTTTCATATCAGTTATTTTATAGAGCCAACAATAGGTTTCCTAGTGAAAAGTACAATTGAAAATATTAATTGTGTTTTTTAACTAGTTAGAGAATATTGTTTTTGTTACTTCTTAATTTGTAGGAGGTTGTTTCCATAGAAAAATTGAATTTTATATTTATATGTTATACTTTAAAAAAGGTAAAAACAAAAATATAATAGATCATAGTATGATTATGTTTTTTTTTTAAACAATATAAGGCGTGATTGTATATGAATTGTACAGTAAATATCCCAATCAAAACCCAAATTTAATTCTACTTTAACTCAACTCCACTATCTTCAATATTATCAATACTAGTTTTTAACCCGTGCATTTGTACGGAAAATAATATAATAGAACAAAAAGTAATAAAAATATATAAACAATAGTAAATATCATAATATAATCATTGAAAAAATGTTCTAAGAAATAATAACTAAATATTGTTAAACAAATTCTTTATATACAACGTTTGTGGTTTTTCTAGCAACAGAATTTCCATCACTACGAATCATATCTTCAAATTAAGACATATAATGGTTTTAATTGTTTAAATAATTATTGTATTTTGTTAGATCATATAGGAAATATTAAAAAAAAAAAAATACTAAAAAAATACCAGCAAAATATTACAAAATAAATATGTGCCAAATATTTAAGACATTTGAACAAAATGACAATTTTTGGGTGATAAAGAAATATATTGATTGAATGATAAAAAAAATCCAATTAGAAGTCCACTTAATTTTTTAGGGTAGCCAAAATCAAATATAAAACAGGTCAATGATAACATGACTATAAATAGAGATAAACTCCTTGAGAGTGATGTAAGCCATTTTTTTTTGTTTGATGTCGGCGCTTCTCTCGTTATTCACTCTGTCTGAAACCCTAATCTTTAACCCGATATTACGACAAACTCGGCGAGATTCAATACAAAACAACTGTTTTACCGGAGATTTTCTCCCGGTAAAGGCCTAAAATAAAAAAAGACATCCGATAAATGTTGTTTTTGTGACCAACAGTAGTGATCGAAAAATACAATATTCGTCCCGATTTCTTAATCTGTGTTGCTAAATCTTAACAAATCGGTCAAAATCGGGCGATAATATTACAAATCTATGAAGAGTTGAAATATTTTTTATTAAACGTAGTTTCTATTTTTTATTATTTTCAATGATCTGTGTCGTTTTTTGAAATTCTTTGTGAATAAGCTTCAAGATATATCATATTTTATACATAATTTTAAATTATTTAGATGTTTTTCAAAATCGTTTTTCGAAGAGAACATGACATTGGTCGAACTTTTTCAAACTTTTATGTATTTTGTTCAGGGTTTGAAAAAATATGTAAGTTTCTAACAGTTCTGTTCAGCTCTACTAACAAATATATAGGTAAGTTTATAACATATATGTTCATATCTGTTTATAATATACATATGTAACTTTTATGTATTTTGTTCAGATTTTGAAACCTAAATAGTTCAATTCTTTGTCGTCTTTCTCATCATATCAGTAAGTGAAACTTTGCTAACACTTGTTCAAAATCGCTATTCGAAGTTGTTCAAAGTCTTTTGCCGAAGTTTTTCAAATTTTTTAGTATTTTGTTCAAAATTTGGAAATATTAGGTAAGTTTATAACAAATTTGTTTAGATATATTTATCGCATATTAGGAATTTCTTGTTTAATGTTTAAAAGAATCTGTAGGAATTTTTATTTTTAAAACTTTTACGCAAAAAAATCGATTTTAATATAAAGGCAGATGTCTTGGTAAAAGTTGAATGTGTTGATAATGATAGGGAAATCAAATTATTTTCCTTTCTATATTGTATAGTGTTCAATAATGTTCCACATAATTTGTTGTGTTTTTAATTTTGATTTATTCATATAGATTTGACTTTTTTTTTGTTGATTATTAATTATGCTTGATATTTCTATATTATGCAACAATCTGCCATTACATACAATGTCTTGTCAATTCTCATTCTTTGACTTTGCCAATTTCCGTTTAATATGACTTTTTTGTTGCTGAAAGTATGTTTTTAATGCATTAAAATAATGATGTTTTGGATATGTTTTGATGCTATAATCATGCAGAAATTTGTCCCGCCACTTTTTTCTTAAAGAGAAATTGTTTAATGAAAATTAATCATATTTATATTTATAATTGTGAAATAATTTATTTTTTTTCACGGCCAACAGTTATTTTTTTTAATGAAAAATATGAGACAATTTATTCAACACACTTTTTAATTTATAAAAAAAGAATGTTGATTGCGATAGTCAAATATGCAGAAATCATGCATTTTATTGAATAGTAATAATATAAAATATTTTATTATTACTACCAAATAGAAACTCAAATATAGTTAATTTTGCACTATTAATTATGATCATATGGATTTTTTTATACATATGTTTTTTCAATGAACTTTTTAAATGATAATATTGACAATATAGACTTTGTTATAATAGTTATATACACTGTGTTATAATAATAATTTATTTATTTAATTCATTAAATTTTTTTTCAATTCATCTTATTATGCGTATAGTCTAAGTTTATAAATTATATGTTATTTAAATGTATCTATACTACTAATTTATAAGATTTTACCATTTGGGGAGCTAAATTTTTAATTTTAATTATGAAACTAATTTTTCTTATCATTTTGTAGTTATATGTTTGATTGAGTATGGCTGGAAATTAAATTACAAAAAAAATAATTTCATTTTTTATATTGTAATGTAACATGATATGTATTATAATGTTTGTAATTAATACATTTGTTAATATTTCTTATAACGTTAATTGCTTATTTAATTCATAATGAAATAAAAAATAATAATATATAGTTTCTGCACAACAATAATGACTATCACGTTTATATATATAAATGAGAATAAGAAACATAAATGTGGGATTAACTAAAAGAAACTTTTTTAATTTACTCATTAACTAATTAAGTTTAACTAAAAGAAACCTTCTTAAATGTGAGAATAATGAGTAATTAATTAAAAAAATGTAACTTCTTTTGGAGGGAAAATGAAAATATTTTTATTAAATGAGGTTAGCTAGCAATTATATATATATAAATAATTAAATAATATCAACCAATCATTATTACACATCACATCAACTTTAATTCACTATTCATCCACTCACATAATTTTAACTAACCATCACTTTCAATCATTTTCTCCTACTTTTACATCAAATCAACTTTAATTATTTTAATTTAAATATTATTTTAATATATTTACTAACAACTAACCATACTACTTTTTTTTTAAAACTTAAATATAGTTAAAAAATAATTAATTTTTTACTAGCTGAATTCATATCCAATCACCACCATAGTTACTATAACCTTTAGGCAACGTTAACTTTTAGGCGTTTGGTGTAGCTAGAACATCTCATCGAAAAACTCATTAAATTAATTTTAGTAATTGTCATATCAAACAATAATTTTTGTCCAATCATTAAGCTCCATTCACAAATTCAAAGGAATATTCTCTTTTATAACAAAATTTACAACTTTTTAATATTACTCACATATTTATAATTTATAAATTACGTCACACTAATATTTTATATTCTATTGCAAATATATGATAGAATTAGTTATAGAGTGAAAATTTGTACTCGAGGTGAAAATTTATTTAAGAAACGCCAATTACACCACCAAAAGAATAAGTACATTGAGTTGCACATACAAAAACACAAATAAAATTAAATTTGGTTTCAGTTAATTGTTCAACTCCATATATTGGAATAAATATAATAACATAAATGAACATATATATATATATATGCTTATACTATTTTAATGAATTATCATGAAAGTAAATGATAACTATTGATTTTTATCCATAATCTTTATTTAATTAATAATTTTTATAATTAATGCCACAATAATTCATCCCTCAACTTGTGTATAAGTTGGAAGAAGTTTTCACTAATGCGTATTGTGTACTGTTGGAGAAGCTCTTATATGTCCGTGAGGCCTCACTAATTGACATTAAACATTTGTGTCATAATGGTAATTAAATTTGAAAAATAAAAATAATTAGCTTATTCAGCAAAATGGATAGAAAAATTTGACTTTATTTTGACCATTTTTTTTCTCAATTCTCATCATTTTGAGCTTGGCTAGGTCAACGTGATCCGTTGACAAAGCACTGCTTTATCAGTTGGCAAATACCAACTTCTTTCCACTAGTCCATGTTATTATCTAGAAATATGTGGTTAGGTGGGATTATTCATTGAAATCTGAGACAATTATTTTAATTACTCAACAAATTAATTTAACTTTGGAAAAAAAAAAAACAAATTAATTTAACCATATTTTTTCAACTCAAGTTTCAGTTTTTCTAATGTCACGTGAGCCTGATTAGCTTACAAGTTATAGATAAATCAAATTAATCTCTTCAATAAATTTTGTCAAACTACAAATTTAAATAAATATGAAAATATTGATAAAGTCGTAGACTATCTTGGGCATATATTTTTTGTTTTTAAATTTTTTTAACTATGTAACATTAATTTCTACACTTGATTTTGACACAAATAGACAATAGTGGTCCACTAAGTCTGAGTTGAAAATGATATTTCTCCTATTGTCTCTAATTTAGTCTTCAATTTGGAAATATTTTTCCAGCAGCTTCCGTTTTTCCAAGTTTCAATGCATCTCCCGATGAAGACATTCGGGATATGAAACTTGACTAATATTTGTTGGAACACAAACTTCTCCTCTTTATCAAATTTAAGAATATTCCGTACTTTGTATATTATTTTGACATGTTTGATCAAATTTATTCTTGTATATATGGGTGGNAAAGATTAATTAAATTAAATACGTAAATTTTTATGTGAGATAACATAGCCACTATTAGGATTAATCAATCGTACATTTTTAAAACAAAATTATATACTTATATTAGAAATGTCATACTTTTGTTTATATTATTATTTTTATTAATCATAATACATATTTATGCTATGAAATATCATACTTTTTATCGATGCTATTTTCTAGACTATGACATAAATTTGAATCTATTCATATTTTAATTAGATATATTAAATACTTACATAAAAAAACAAAAAAAAAATGCATTCATAAATAATTTGAAAAGATATTAGTTTATTTTTATACATCATAATATTATATATTTATTCAAAAATCGAACTATAATATACAAAATTATATTCGACCACATATGCTTACAAGGGTTTATGTAATGATATATTTGTACTAGTTAATATGTATATAAATACATAATTCACTATTTTATTATATAATATATATCAGTGTAACAATACAAAAGTATATTTATTAAAATACAATATTTTCTTAAAGAAATAAAATAATTTTATTATTATCATAAATAAAAAAATAACATTAATTTAATTATTTTTTTTCTATTAGTGATAAATGATAATATAGAATGATAACGTCATTTCACTCAGGTCTTATCATTCTGCATACCAAACATATCATTAGAAAAACTTGTTCCATTCATTTTCTATATAAATTTCATTATTCTAACTCATTTAATTCCTATCAATTCATTCCATTATACTACTTATGTCTTATGTCATCAATCGGAGTTCATATTCTCATTCAATTTTTTTGTAAAAGCATTTATATGCATTTTATTTTTTTGCTTGTTATTCATCGTCCAGTGAAATTCTAAAATTTTACGATTTTTATTCTAACTGAGTGACATACCGTAGGACTCAGTCTATTCGAGGGGGTCGTACTCATAAAATTTTTCAGTTGAATCTGAGTTCATTTGGTGGTTCAATTTTCCGTAAAAATATTCAAACTTATTATTCTCTTTCTATACTTACTTGGGTATTGTCCAAGACTTTCATTCTAATCGATTGACCTACTATACTATTGGACTTATTCTTGTGACTCTAACCCATAAAATTTCAGCCTTATTAGTTATTACTCATTGAATTCTTCAATAATTGTTTTGTGCACCCTACTCTGCCAGTCTGCCTGTTTTGCCTTGTGATAGAGGCTGAAATGTAATTCCGCATACTTTAGGGCCTTCCATTTTTAATATAAACTAGCACGTAGCCCGTGCGATGCACGGAACATAAGTATTAATGAGTTATTTACACAGAACTTGTCCGTTAAGTAGCACGTGCGATTCACAGGAGATATTAAATGAGTAGACTATAGGGCTTGTCCGTTCAGGCCTAAAAAATAATAGAGTTTGATCATCTATCTTTTTACATCTTTTCATCAACGCCATTTTTTTTATCGGAACATTAAACTTGAGTCTGGTAGCGCTAGCCTGTAAATTAATTAATATATTATCTCGTTCACATGTTTCTAATAATACAAATTTGATTTCATTATATATATTTATTCATTGATATAAAAAAATAACAATTTTACGTAATCTTGTTCCTCGTATAATACTTATATTACTTCCTTATAAAATTTATTGTAGTATAATGTCATTATTATTATAAGTTATAGATGTAATCTTCTTCTTTTTGTTTTATGTAATTAAAATATTTAATGTATGTTCATATTATTTATTAATGTAATTAATTTAAATTATGTAAATAAATTTAAAGTAAAACATTTTGTACAAACATTTTACAAAATATACACAAATGTTTTTTTAGAATTTAATTTTTTTACAATAAATATCAGCTTTGAAATTCTATGCAATTATTAAAACCGATTAAATCTGCTTTATTAAAACCGGTTAAATCTTTATTTATAGGCTTGACATTAAAATCGATTTTATGAGATTATTTTAACTAAACAGATGTTATGGAATAAAAGAAAATCTATACTTATATTGGACTTTTCCAGCAAAGGTAAAAAAATCGGTTTTGATTTTATTCCATAACAAATCTTTAATGTCAAGCTATAAATACCAAAATAAATCTGTAATTAATGTCATTCTATTTCCAGCAAACATTAATTACTTTT